AAAAGATATTTATATAAAGACCAAAATATATAACAAAAATATTCATGTAAAAATATATATTTTAAAAGTTATGTCAGCAATATTTATATTTTGTAAATTTGAAAATGTATGTTATGATATCACAAATATGTCTGAAATATAAAAAAATATATAATAAGTTAATTTATTTAGACAGCACAGGAAGCACTCTAAGACAGATTTGAGACCACTTTTACTTTACATTACTGTTATTTTACTTTGATTATTTCATATCAGAAAAAGAGAATCATCATATCACATCAACGCTGCAAAAAGGTGCAAAATTCTCACTTGCAATGCTTCTGTCTCACTCTTCCTTTACTTCACACCCCAGTGCTTATCATACTCAGTCTCCCACTCACATCCAAATTTAGACACATACTGGTACATTAACACTAGTGGTTCAACTTTATATATTATAAATATGAAAACAAAGATCTGTTTTGTTACTGTTTATTATTTACAGTAGACATTTTTTATTTCTTTTAATCAACAGGCCATTTTTAGTGGATGTCTGAAATCAGGTTTACACTCATCACATTAACTATGAAAGTATCACTAAAGTTTGAGAATCGGTAAGTGTCCAGATACTTAATCTGAACTGTATATGCATTATTTTATCATTTAAAACCAGATAAACCTATTTTTGTGAAATGTTTTGCTTAAAAGGTGTTCTTCAGCTTTGTTTATTTATGTTTGGTTATGTAATGCAATCACACACAATCAATGTTTGAGTACTTTTTGCAGTCACTGTATATGCATATGAGTACATACAAGTCTAAGTGAATTTACAGTACCTGTAAAGTGGAAGACCTTGAAGCACTGGTCTCAGTCAGTGCAGAACTTCCTGGGATGCTTGACACAACGAACCCCGCTCCGTTTGGAAGGGGCTGCCGCACCACCACCTTCCCTTTTCTAGTCTCTGCCAGAAACAGACTGTACCAGTAGGCATCACTAGAGATGAGAGTAGAGTCAGCAATGGTGGAAGAGTTCCTCTGGCTGATGATGCTGTTCCTACCCTGAGGAGCCGCTTGTGAGGGTTTGGGTTCTTGACATTTCAGCACGATGATCACCAGGATGGTTATGAGCAGAAGAAACAACACCGACCCCAAACCGATCAGCAAATACAGGTTGAGATCAGTGAACAGGTCGTATTCGATAGGCACCTCTGTGGTTTCGGTAAACTGCGTGACCACTTGCTCCACCGTGGAGATCTTGATGGTCACCGTGGCGGAGCGAGGAGGATCTCCATTGTCTCTGGCTATGATGACCAGGCGCTGATGTCTGGGGTCTCTGTAACTGAACATGCGAGTGGTTCGTATCTCGCCGTTGTACTGGTCGAGGCTGAAAAGCGTGGTGTCGGTGATCTGGAGGAACTGATACGTTATTCGAGAGTTCTGCATGGAGTCGGCATCCAACGCAATGACCTTGGTGACCAGGGATCCTTTATCGCTCGACCTCGGGATTACTTCTTCTATAACAGCACCTTGCGGACGCCATGGAGAAACTATGAGCGGCGTGTTGTCGTTTTGGTCCAGGATGATGATGTGTACGGTCATGTTACTGCTAAGAGAAGGAACTCCTGAATCTCTAGCTTCGATGTGAAACAGAAACTCCTCCTCTCTTTCGTAGTCAAACGTGCGTAATGCGTAGAGGTTGCCGTTCTCGGGATTGATGGAAAACAGCATGGACATTGAGGTGTTGGCGATCTCCTTTTCTATGATGAAGTAAACAATATACTGATTTTCGTGCAAGTCTGGGTCATTGGCCGTTAAGGAGACGAGCAAAGCCCCAGGCTCATTGTTTTCCATTAAATGAATGGTATAGAAGGATTGAGGGAACGTTGGGGCGTTATCGTTGACATCTTGAATTGTAAGACTGATTGTTTCGTTATCAGTCAAAGGTGGGGTTCCTCTGTCGGTCACATAAAGTGTGATATCATAACTGTTTTTGAGCTCACGGTCAAGTGATTCAGTGACTAGTAACTCAAAAAAGTCTTCAGATGACTTATTAAGAGCAAATGGTAAAATCTCAGCATTGTGGATGGAAAGAACAACCTTACCATTATCTCCAGAGTCCCTGTCACTCACACTGATGACGGCGATCATTGTTCCTACAGGGTCATTTTCTTTAATCGAACTCTGAAAAGATTTTATTGTAATCTCAGGATGGTTATCGTTTAGATCAGTGATGAACACCAAAATTTTACACTGACCAGAAAGTGGATTCACGGCCTTGTCCTTGGCTTCAACGTACATCTCAAAGCTCTTCACTTCTTCAAAGTCAATCATGTCTTTTACTCTTATTTCTCCACTGCTGGGATCCAACGAGAACTTTTCTTGTGTTTTCTCGGATGTGTATAAAGTGAAGGAGTATATGACCTCTGCGTTGACACCCTCATCCAAATCGGTTGCATCCAGCTGCATAATCAGTGTCCCGATTGGTGCATTTTCAATGAGGTCAACCGAGTACACTTGTCGATCAAACTGAGGGGCGTTGTCATTGGTATCCAGCACTTGGATGATAATGCTGGCCGTACCTAAGCGCGCAGGCACGCCGCCGTCCACGGCGGTGAGGGTTAGTGTATGAACGGCTTGTTTTTCTCTGTCTAAACTTGCTTTTAGCACCAGGTCGACGTATTTAGTCCCGTCACTTCCAGACTGGATTTCAATCGTAAACGTGTCGCTGTCACTCAGATAATAGGTCTCGATTGAGTTCTCTCCAACGTCTGCATCCACCGCGTTTGTTAAAGAAAATCTCTCTCCGGGTGTTGCTGATTCTGAAATATCGAGCGGTATTCTCTCCCTTCTGAACTGAGGCGCGTTGTCATTGATGTCCATAATTTCTAATTCGATATTAAATATGCGTACTGGACTCTCGATTATCACGTCCATCTTGAGGAAGCAAAATGATGATGTTTTGGCCGGGCATAAATACTCCCGGTCAATTTTCTCAGCGATAAACAGTTCTCCAGTGTTTTCGTTTATTTCTAGGTATTTCTTGCTATGGATATAATCCAGCTTTACCTTTCGTTCCAACAGACTGTGAGCGTCAAGGCCCAAATCCGTGGCGATATTTGCGAGCACTGTGCCCACTGGAATTTCTTCAGGGATGGAGTATCTTGTTACAGCCGAGGCGAGACTCCACATCGCGGAGAGGACGACAAAACCGAGCTGCCTTCTCCTCCAGGGATCCATTGCAGAGCACATGTCAATGCTTTCACTGTCTTTTACAAGAAATATAGCAGTGTGTTCCAAAACGAATCGAGGTTAGCGGGTGTTTGGATTCTTGAAAACATCCAGCAGAGCATCGCCATAGCGCCGTGCCGTGGATCCCGCCCGCTGATCAGATTCAGCTGAGCTTCAGTGCTGCTCTCTCTGCATCCGTCCAACAGAAAGCCAAGCATGGCTGTTCTCGCATCCTCCCCTTAAAGTGAATATCAGTAGCGCAGCGACATCATGTGAAGATAAAAGTTTGCATAAAAATATATTTTAGGACAAAAAAAAAAAGGTTGTTTGTGAAAGAATAGTATTTCTGCTCTACATTTGAAATTACTTTTGACTTTTTTGCGAAATACCGAAACTCTTTATTAATGTCCTTAATGAAAGTCTTTTTTAATGTATAGTTTGGCTGCAAATGTTGAAAGTAACAAATAAATGTATTGACATTTAAAGTACTTTTATTTCATTTTTCTCGACACATTTTTGGGCGTCATTCAACAAGAAGGAAGTTCAGCACCACGGACAGATCCACAGATTATTGCCAGATCCACACACACACACACACACATATTTATATAATTAAAACATTAAAACAAAAACAGTGTGAATAGCCCTGAAGCCATGTTGATTTAATGTTGCACATGTATTTCTATTCTATCTACTCGTTTTCTTTTTAGTAAAAAAAAAAAACCTTCACCGTCTAACACTAACTCTCTCTCTCTCTCTCTATTCTATTTCTAGTCTATGTACTGTTTTCTCTTTCTATTTATTATTATTAAAAAAAGCTTGCTATGTGTACTAAAGTATACTATCTGGGACTTGTCACAGCACTCATATTGTTGCTCTTTTGTTGGTTTGATTGCTTCTATTGTCCTCATTTGTAAGTTGCTTTGGATAAAGGCATCTTCTAAATAATTAAATGTAAATTTAAATTATAAAAAATAAAGCCACTTTTAAAGTCATATTTTTGCTCTCCTACTTTTATTTTTCATTTTATCCTAACTTTATTTTTTTCTGTCATTGGTATATGTAGCAGAAAGTGTGAAGAGACAAGAGATGCACGGTTTTATGTCATCATGTTCTTAAGATTTCTTGTCATTTTAGCACAGCAAGAACCACTGCAGTGGAAAACCTACTTTTTTTTTTAACAAGAAGACAGACTAAAGAGTTACATTAAATAATATTCTTTATTCTGTACATTTTGGTAACAAGAGGGATATAAAACAGGAAAATATAACCTATAGTTTTATAAATATGGGTGATTACAATTAAAGCAACCATCTTAATGCTTTCATAAACACTGCAGATAACTGAAAAACAAAAATGCAAAAAATTGGAATGATTATCAGAGTACTTTTAAGTACTGTTGTTGCCAAATAATATAGTTCATAATCCAACTAAAATATACACAACTATATACAGAAAGTGACCTACAGGCAAGAACCACTGCAGTGGAAAACCTACTTTTTTTTTTTTAACAAGAAGACAGACTAAAGAGTTACATTAAATAATATTCTTTATTCTGTACATTTTGGTAACGAGAGGGATATAAAACAGGAAAATATAACCTATAGTTTTATAAATATGGGTGATTACAATTAAAGCAACCATCTTAATGCTTTCATAAACACTGCAGATAACTGAAAAACAAAAATGCAAAAAATTGGAATGATTATCAGAGTACTTTTAAGTACTGTTGTTGCCAAATAATATAGTTCATAATCCAACTAAAATATACACAACTATATACAGAAAGTGACCTACAGGTGAAACTGGAAAAATTATTTGAAAAAATTTTTGGTTATTACTGCGTCCTCTTGATTGTTATTGTTTGGCTTTTTCTTTTTGCCAAAAGTTGAGAATGAGTTGCAGACTTCAATGTCCCCATTGTTTGCCAGTTTGAGTGTACAGAGTGTTGATGGTGTTCCGGGAATGTAAACATTATGTTGATAGTCTGGTGGGGGTTGAATTGAATCCTGTTGATTGTAACGTGTCCATGAACGATTTGGAAAACCTCCACCCTTAGATGAGGTCTTATAGTCTGTTTTAAATGACAAAGAAAAAATGGTTGGATAAACAATTCAGGCAAACCATATATGAAGCTGGTCTTCTTAGGCAAGACAAATCACAACTATATACAGAAAGTGACCTACAGGTGAAACTGGAAAAATCATTTGAAAAAAATGTTGGTTATTACTGCGTCCTCTTTATTGTTATTGTTTGGCTTTTTCTTTTTGCCAAAAGTTGAGAATGAGTTGCAGACTTCAATGTCCCCATTGTTTGCCAGTTTGAGTGTACAGAGTGTTGATGGTGTTCCGGGAATGTAAACATTATGTTGATAGTCTGGTGGGGGTTGAATTGAATCCTGTTGATTGTAACGTGTCCATGAACGATTTGGAAAACCTCCACCCTTAGATGAGGTCTTATAGTCTGTTTTAAATGACAAAGAAAAAATGGTTGGATAAACAATTCAGGCAAACCATATATGAAGCTGGTCTTCTTAGGCAAGACAAATATAATGACTTTACCATGCATGTGATTTCCCCAGGTCCAGTACTGCGGGACAGATGTGTAAGCATAGTAGTCTGAGTCCTGAATCAGCCTGCGCTGCAGTGTCCTACCTGTGTTTATTGGAGTATGGCTAGAAAAATAAAAACATGAACACGTCAAATGTTTTGTGCATATGAGAGAGAGTGAGGGGGAGGGAGGACAGAGAGAGCGATAGAATCAGCTTTAACTTTAATCACCTTGTATATGTATAATTGAGCTGGTTCTTGGTCAGGGTTTGGTCTTTGTTTCCCTGTTTGAGCTGCAAAGGAAACAAAAAAAAGAGTTAAAATATTTACTCCACTTACACTTCAGAGGTTAAAGAATGTACAACACACACACAATGCCAAGAAGAGAAAAGACCTCAGAATACATCAGAAACAGAAACAGTGACTTTACTAATTAATCACCTTGTTGCAGTACACCTACAATTTGGAGCAATGACAATAATGCATTTTGTTTATTTTATAATTTATTTATGAACTAGGCATTAAGAATTTTATGGTCTAGTTCACAGGAAAAAAAAATAAAAAAAATAAAAAAAAAAAAATATGGAAAACAAGAGGCCCCTGCGCCTTAGTGGCTTGGGCCCT